AGAACTTTCTCACCACATGCTTCAAAGCTACTAAAATTGCAAATTCAGGGTATGACATTTCAAAAATACTGGATACTAGAGAAAGAAAGAAAAAAGTACTAACCAAATATTTCATACACTTTTATATCAGGGTCATCTTAACAAGTGATTGATGCTTTCAATTTATAAGACACTTTAAGTTTTGCTCCATGTTACAATTATATATGTCATGGCACAATTATATGTCATGGCTGTATGGTAAAGTTCCTCAGCTTATAAAAAAATTCACTAAGCTCTAGGAATTAAGAGAACACCAAATTCAAGAAATATCTGTCAGGAAATGTAAAACTACACACACACACACACACACACACACACACACACACGACATCCTAAAATAAGAAATTCACATAAGCTTACCTGATAATTCAGGTAAATCATACTTAATTCAAGATAGGCAGCATTACTATTGCATTATGGTACTGGTATTGGTGCATTTATAGAAACACCATTAAAAATAATTAGGGAAATAAAGACTTCTAACATTTGACCAATGAAAGGCTTCCAAAAGTTTATAGTTATATTAACTTAATTTCACGGACATAAACCAAAAAGACATAACTGAATTCATTGGGTCTCATATGCAGTTATTTATATGTAAAAGTTATAATATCAATTTACATAGTTTGCTGAAAACTAAGAATTCTTTGAATATAAGAATACAATAATTAACAAACTATAGAGAATTTTTCACTGCATTTAGAGCCTCAAAACAAACTTACGTTCCTCAATTTACAATTTAAAATTTAAAATTTATGCACTACTTAATTCTGATTCTTAATTAGAAGGGGAAGGAAAAGATAAAATCTAAAAATCACTAACATCTGAGTGACTGCTGGTTAACATTTTCTTTAGTAGTTGTCTGCCAACTCATGTATATAAGGCTACATAAGTTATGGGAAAATAATTACACAGTAATATCAATCAATTGCAATTTTTCTTACCTTATTTACCCATTTACATCTTTTAACGTCTAAAAACATATTTTCAGGGATCATACTATGAATAAAAAAGGAGGTTAAAAAGTATAGTAAATATGCAAAACAAATATGGGCGAACCATTATACATTCTTCTCCAAACCTAACAATATAAAACAAAACTTGTTAAAAATCCATAATACAACTTGTCTAAAGAAAAACTAAATTGACAGCAATCTCAATGTCAAGATTTAAAAAGCTCAAATTTATAAAATTGTTCAAGTTAAAACATTCCTATTTTTTTCCAGCCTTAGCACACTAGAAAATTCTTAAGCTTAATTTACCCAGGGTTGGTTTTAAATAACAGTAAGACTCAGAATTATACCGAAGGTCCCTATCAACGCAGAGGTCCCAATCAACAGGAGACAGAGAGACTTATGGTACTAGTACACCAATAATCATTTTTGTTAGCATCCTCTACTGGTGGTTTCCAAAGACAGCAAGTGTAAATGGTGCAAACGACAGAAAGATAAGTACCTGCTATTCCATCTAAAGTGAATTAATCAGCATGTGGTCATTAGTACATAGAGTACATTTCTCCAAAAAAAAGAAAAAAAATTAATAATAAGAAAACCACACAGGGAGAAGTGGAAAATGAGAAGACAGATTTTTAAAATACAACAAAGCATTACATTATAAGTGGTAAAAATTGATTTAAGCAATTCAAATGCCACTCCTTTATAGATGACTAACATCATTACCATAAAGTTACATATCAGTGGTTTACCCCTGTCAAGTTACATTACTTGATTCTCCCACTAAAACCCTACTCCGCAGATATATTCCAGAAAGGAAATTAAAATATTTTACTGGAGGCTTAGCAGTAAAATCTGCATACCTTATTTTAAAATGAACAAAAAATGATTTACGTATAAATAACTGCATTAAGTATCTCTATGACTATCTCTCACTGTACACATCACTTATTCCTTCATTAAAAAGATTTGAGTTAACATTTTTCCAAGTAATTCTCTCCAAAAAAACAACTGCAACATAAACATGATCGCGTTGCTAAGACATATTAACCAGAATCTATCCTGAGGTTTCACAACACAATGGCATATAACTTCATTTTTAATTTGCAAATTATAAGGCTTAATCAAGTAGCATGGCTGTAATCAACAGCGATGGATGAAATGCATTTGCGAACAAAAAGAAATACTAGGACAGAGCCAAAAGTGATGAAAATGGAAGATACCTGTGGTAGTACAGTGCTATCTTAAACACCTTTTGTTTTCTGAGAGTAATGCATACTGCAGACAAGACATTTTGTGCTAAACGGCCCCAAATCTGTTTTTCTAATATTAAACACAAAGGAAAAACACTGACAGCAAGCGTGGTAAATAATCCCTCCCTTGAGAATGAAAGCAGCAGACAGGAGTGGGCTGACATACATGCAGGAGAAAACTAAACACCATCTTTTTTCTACCTGCACAAGTTGCCATTTGCTGCAGCGATCGAGAACCTCTTTTTCCTGTTGATTTCAAGTACCTTTCAGGATAGCTTTTTTTCCCTTAAGTCATCTGTTGATATGCCTTATGAGTATAATATTCATATCACAGGATCTTTAGGAGAAAAATCCATTCTTTCCTGTTCAGGTAAACATGTTTACAGCAGCTGCACAGACGCTGGGTGGTTCAGACTCACATGTCACACACATGTCGTCAGCAACAAGAAAAGCCCCTTTCTCTGGCGATGAACATTTTAAATAAGGTAGAGCGAACAGCCCTTTCCGAACCAACTTACCTTTCATAAAGCCACATCAGCAACAGCGGCAACAGCTCAATATAGAACACACTATTTGACGCTAAAACAGGAAATTAAAATTGCAATCGCCTATGCTTCGCTCCTTGCTGTAACAAGTCATCTCTCCACAATGAGGATACCAAATATTAGTTATCAGTCATAACTAATAGACGTCTTTAAAATGAAAACGTTTATTTGAATATCTAAAATCATTCATGAAAGCAGTGATTTTAATGTCGGCTCAAATATATTTAAAAATATGTTTACGATTGGAAGGAAACATCTTGAAACAGCTTTAAATCTTCGTATCTGCTTCTCGACAGGAAATCCCACACAAAATCTAAAATTGCCAGGAAAGGTTACAAAACCTCGCGTTTCGCATCCCAGAGGGGAGGGAGAATGGATCCCGAGAGCGGGGGGTGGGGCGGGGGGAGCGCGCGAGAGTTTTCACTTAAACACGTATTTCCTCATTTTCTGGAAGATACAGCGATCCCATTAGAGGCGCATTTATTGCCCTACTCTTAAAAACTCGTTTTTAAAATAACGCAGGAACCCAAAGGAGCCCCTCGGTCCGAAATGTACGTGTAATTCCTTATATAGCCTGGCTGCAGCCAGCGCAGGCCGTTGCCGCCCATTATTATACAAACAGGTACCCGGCCGGCGCGGGCGGGGTCCTCTCCCCGCGCTCCCGCCGCCCCCGGGCGGAGAAGTCTCGCCCCTCTCGCCACAGGAACTGTCCAGACAATAACAATCAGCAGACATTTCGCTGCTGAACCAGAGGGAGAGAAAGCACAGACTCGCCCCCGAGATAAGCAGAAATACAATCAACTTACACCGTCTCTCCAAACTGGAAAAGGCGACTGTGCAACAACAACCACATGTTCGGGTCCTGCTCTCTCGCGCTGTCTCTCCCTCTCCCTCCGTTTCTCTCTCTCGTGTTTTGCTTTTTTTTAACTCTCACGCCAGGCAGAGGGGTGTGTGTGTCCCCGGCACCTCAGCACAAATCAATAAGCACTGCAGCTGCAGCGCGAGCAGCGGACCCGCGCGTCCGTCGGTCCGTCCGCCCCCTCCCCCACCCTCCTTCCACCCGAGACCGAGAGCGCCATCCAAGCTCCATTATCCGGCTTCAGCGCTCCGAGCGTCCGGCCCAGGTAACAACTTCCCCAAAAACCGAAAGAGAAAAAAGAGAGGCGGAGGTGCTGGACCCCATCCCGGCGCGGAGAAGGAGTCTTCCCGGGAAGGGGGGATCTGTCTGTGGTGCTTTCCCGTCTGAGCCCAGGTAACTCCGCGCACACACCCGCTGCCCAGCTCGCCGCCATCCACACGTCCCCCAGCAAGGAGGTGCCCGCTCCCGCCTCGCCGGCTCCCGCACCACCGGGTCCTCCCGCGCGGGGCTCGCCTCGGCGGCCCCAGGCCGGGGGCCCGGAGCTCGATGGCCCGAGGCGCGGGGAGGAGGGGCGCTGAGGG